CTCAGCCAGGACAATGATTTTGATTTTAGGTCTGGGTCACTGCTTTGTGGTCGATTGTCACAGCCTCATGTCAGTGCTCCAGTATTAAGACTGGTGAGAAACCATGATCATCATCGTGTGTAAGTCACCCTTCTGCCAGTCTGTGCTGAGGACGCCTACTGAATATGAATGACTCTGAAACCGTTTAGCTGCACTGATGTGTGCAAAGGCTTCCAGGGGCTGTTTATTCCACGTTGCCTAGTGACAGTGGCAGCACAGGGATGCTATAGATTTCTAAGAACCTTCCCATCAGATATGATAACCACGAGTGCTGGGTATTTCTTCAGGCCAAAGAAAAATGGGTCCTATTATTAGCTAAAGCTGTCTGACTCTGGGAGGGCTGGACTATGCTATTTGTGGTTACCTTGATAATAAAGTTGAAATCAGAGCAGAAACAGTAGCACCAGAGTCACGCCATTCAATAGGAGAGAATTATCTAATCCCTGCATCTGTAGTGTTGGGGGAGATGGAAATTTTAGAGCCTTCAGCTACTCTCATTTGATTCATTCATACTCTAAAAGTGTTTGAGAGAATATGTTTCCATATTTACCTCATTTTAATTTCAATAAAAGCCATGAAAACTACTCACATTTGAATACCCCATAGGCTCCCGAGACCACCACCCCATGTTGGATAAAGAGGGTAGAGACAAGTTGCCATGTCAGAAGTGTTTCTACTTACACAAAGCTTAACAACACATGAACAATGGGGAAATTGAAAGCCATGGATGTCCACCTTTCACTCCCATCTGAGGACAGGAGCTGTGTGTCTACCTTCCTGCATGGGGATGACAGACAGCTGTGTGTACAGTTCAATGTGGAGATGAAAGCCATCTGTGTACACTTTTCCATGTGGGGATGAGAGCCACATATATCCACCTTCCCACAAGGAGATAAGACTGTGTGTGTCTACTCTTTCTTGTAGAGATGAAAGCAATGCAAGTCTGCCCCTCCCCGACATGTCCACCCATCCACACTATTCAGTGTGCAGGAAACAGAACTATGAGCTGCAATTCAAGAGCTAACTTTTAGCTCTGCTGACAGCATGAGACATTGGGTGAATGTCAGCTTCGAAAAGAAGCCCAAACAAATGCCATCCCCAGCTCTAAGTCCTACAAATAAGAGACATCCACTCGTTCTTCCCAGGGGTAGGACTGATCAGGTAGGGCCAGGGGACAACACAGTGATGGGCATACTCCATTTTAGTTTGTGTACCTGCTAAGATTCCTTATGTTCCTCACCTGAAATCTATACATTCAAATGACAGAAAATAAGCGAAAATGAGAGAAGAATAACTTCATTATTTTTCTTACATTTTCTTGTGAGAGAACAGGGACTCGGAGAGTGGAGTGATGAAGTGCTCGCTGTGGGCCACTGTATCACCAGTGAGAATTGCAGTTTACCCTTTGAAAAGGAGCAAGCTTCGCACTGAGCCATTCGTGAACAGCCCGGTGCTTCTGTGGTTATCAAAGGGAAGAAAGCTAAATGAACTGAACACCGTGTCCTCTGTACCCCACCTGTGCAGATGCAGATTTCCATTTACTCCACCCTGCAGAGGTAACTGGGATGAGTGATTCTTTGCCTGGGAAGAGCTGAGAGAGAGAGAGAGCCTGCCCAGTAGAGGAGGGCATGCTGGGTCTGCTCAGTCCTCAGTGTTTTGAAACAACTGCTGTGCACTGAATTCCAATAGTGTTCTCTTGCCAGTGGTGACCCAGAAGCTTCTGCAGGCTGGAAAGTAGCTCCCAAATAAGCACTGTGAAAATACTGCCAGGCCTCTTGAGAGCAGAGATCCTGACTTACTGGGTCTGAAGCGAGGTCTGTTTGCAATTTTAATCAATTCCCACTTGATGTTGAGGTTGATGGCCTTTGGACCACAGTTGGTATAGATGAGGTTATTAGAGTTGAAGTGGAATCTACAATTTACTTCAGGTTTCAAGCTCAAATGGGAAGATGAAACCAGCATTTATCACCGAGCCTTTATGCCCCTCCCCTGTAAACTAAGAAACAAATTAGAGAGTATACACATAAATAAAAATGCTCCTTCAGGATCAAGTTTGTTGTAAACGATAGTTTAAATTGGTTACTTAGAAATCCCTGAGTGATCAACTAGATCCCCTTGTAATGCTGTGTGGCTCTCAGCACAGTTTTAGGTTCATAGTTTCATAAATTCCAACTTGGGATTGACTTTAATCAAGGATACATTGATAATCTTGGAAACCATAGCATGAACTAGCATGGCTAATAGAAGTCTCCTTTCATGACCACACACAGACATATAGACACAGGCACACACAGACACATAAATGCATATGCAGAGACACACAAATACATGTGACTGAAGGGCAGTTGCTGGTGTGGTTTCTTCCTTACAGAGAGCCCTCCACAATCCTGGCATCCACGCTGCTGTGCAGTCCTCTTTCTCACTATGTGAGGCTGACCTGTCTATCAAGCCTGGCATAGCAGAAGTGATGCTATGTCGATTTCAACAACAGGTTCCAGAAAACATTCTGCTTGTGCTTTTTGTTCAGGGGAAGCCATTTGCCACAGCATGAGCAAGCTCAGCCTCACCACAACCCCGCCCCATGCAGTCTAGGCCAGCACAGAAGTCTCTTGCAAACAGCTACATGAGTAAGTGATCTTGCTGCCCTGTCCTCCAGCTCCTGTTTGAAAAGAGGAATCTACACTCGGCAGAGATAAACTTTAGATTTGAGAAGATACAATGGGGACTTGGCAGTAACTCTCAAAGACGCCACCTGACTATGTTACCTCTACTTGAATGAAGCTTAGCTCTGTTTTCCTGATCAGCAGGCCCCATCCCAAAGAAAAAGACAAAAATGCAAAGTCATAAAAGGGGAAGCTACACTTACTTAATTAATAAAAGTGATGTACCATGAGATTTAATGGTCCCTTACTGTCGCTCGCTCAGACATATTTCAGTAAGGCCTCATTTGGGATGTTAGAGGAGACAGGCCAGGATGGGTGGAAATTAGCTATTTTAATAATTGATTGGGACTTCATGACAAATGAATTTAGCATATAAAGGGAAGAAAAAAATGGAAGATACTTATGAGAATTTCAGTGTAATAGATGGCATAATAATGACACACATCACTGAATAAAATAGATGAGTAGAGAAGAGCTGAGATTCTAGAGAAGGAAACAGGAACAGAGGTATTTATTTTGGGATGCATTGGGTTCAGGTAACTAAAAGGACTTAGAAAAAGATTCATTTTTAAGACATTTGCTGTGCCTCCTATATTACGTGATAATATTTTATTCATTCTCAAATTCTATTGCTATGAAACTAGAGGTAGCTTTTGTATATATTTTACTTATGAACAAGATTTAGCAACTTAGAGGTTTAGAAATTTGTTGAATAAAGGAGAGCCAAGGGCTGATAAAAATCAAGATTTTCCCCAAATGATTGTCTTCAACATTGGGGCTGAAGTGATACCCTGCACACCCATCTTCCTGATGACGGGTGCCACCATCCTCTGATGTCTGAAGTTACCCATGAAGTGATACCCTGCACACCCATCTTCCTGATGACCAGTACCATCATCCTCTGATGTCTGAAGTTACCCATCGTCTTTAATGTTTGCCTGGATGTTCGTGTTAGGGTTCTCACACAGTATCTGTCCCTAGATGGAGCGCGGTGAGGTTTAACTTTTAGCCTTGAGTGATTAGAGAACTATTGGTGAAAGGGATCAGGGGCTTGCAAGCTGCTGTGAACTCTGACAGTCTAGCCTAACTAATCGGGAGATCTATTTGTGAAACTTGGTGCTAAAGGGTTGCTGACTCATGAGGACAGTCGTGACTCTGATAACCCGGACACTCCGGGACCCATTTGTCTGGATTCACTTCTGGATCAAGTGCATCAGAAAGGTTTCTTGATGAGCATGAAGTTGGAATAGACTGTAATGCTGTAAAACTAATTATCCAAAGCAGTGGTTCTCAACCTTCCTAATGTTGCGACCCTTTAACACAGTTCCTCAATTTGTGGTGGACCCCAACCATAAGATTATTTTGTTGCTACTTCATAACTGTAATTTTGCTACTGTTATGAATATTATTGTAAATATCTGATATGCATCCCTTGTGGGGTCATGACCCACAGATTGAGAACTACTGATCCTAGGACTGCCCCAGGCTTCAAGGAGGAAGTATGTTCTTGTCCAGCAAATGTATAGGAGAGAGAGAGAGAGAGAGAGAGAGAGAGAGAGAGAGAGAGAGAGAGAGATATTGATTCATGTCCTGTGGGCAGAGGCATGTCTGAAGAGGTGAAAGCAGTGAGGAGCGGGCTGAGGTGGGTGGCTTCATTGCCACCCAGGGCCATGGTGATGTCTGGGCCTGGGCTGCTGCTGGGGCCCATGTCTGGGTTCGTGGCTCTGATGCAGCCACAGTCTGTGTTGATGTCCATGGCTCCTGATACCACCGAAGGCTGAGAGGATAGGGCTGCACAGAGCTGGTCCCGCCCCCCAGTGGCTACAACACTAGGAAGAACTGGTCCTGACCCTCACCGGCTGAAGCACTCAGGAGAGAGGGTCCTACACCTCATCTTGGCAGCACAGTAGAGGCAACCCTGTTCCCAGGGGCATGGGCGAGCTGGCCCTGAGAGTGTGAGAATAGGAGAGCAGCTTGCACCCCTCTGTCTGCCGTATGGTGTGAGGGAAAGATGCTCTTCTCCCTTGCCCTTACCACCTCCAGCTGGCAACACTTGGGAAAGGGGGCCCTGCACCTCGTCTGGGTAGTACAGTGGAGGTGACTTTGCTGACTGGGCACAGGTGAGCCGCCCAGAGAACATGAGTGTGGGAGATCTGGCCCCACCAATCATCTGCCATGTGGCAACATGGGCTGGGGAGAGAGGCCCTCCCCTTCCCTCTCTCCCTCTATGACTAGACAGACAAGGGAGCTGACCCTCCCCCTTACCAGCTGCCACACCCGGGAAAGTGGGCCCTGCGCCTCCCCTGGGCAGCACAGCGGAACTGAGTCTATTGACAGGGGTGCAGGTGAACTGGCAGGAGAATGTGAGCACCCAAGATCTGGCCCATGTGGTGGTGGGGCTGGGGAGAGACACTGCCTGTGGCAGGTGGGAGAGCCGCCTTGAGGTCTTAAGATTGGGAGAGCTATCCCTGGCCCTCACCAGCTGCAGCACTTGGGAGAGTGACCCGCTGCACTTTGCCTAGGCGGCACAGAACTGGCCCTGAAGATGTAGGAGTGGGAGAACTGACCCCGAGGGCTTGTAAGCAGAACTGGCTCCACCCCTTGGTCATCACTGCAAGGGGTGAACTAGCCAGGGCAATGCTGGAGAGCTCACCTTCCTGGTGAAGACAGGGGAGAACTGGCAGGCTGGCCAACCCTGCAGCTACTCAGGCCCAGAGACAAGGTCAGCCCACCCCAACATCCATCCCATCTGTGAGCTGCTGGAGCATGTGAAGGGTCCGGTCCTGCAGACCCAAAGCTGCAGGATCTCCATGACACAGGGCAACAACAGGACATCCAAGAAGAGTCCCAGTTGAGGTATCAACATTGATAGTGTAGCAGAAACCAGGGGACTCAAACCAGACCAATGACTCTTTGCAATGAACACTTGCATATAAAGATATATGGATAAAAGAGTTTTCCGTGTGACTCACCATGTCACACTACAGCTTTACAGTTTCCATGGTGAGATTTAAAAAAATTTTTTCCCTTAAACTTTATTTTTGGGAAGAGGTTGCAAGGACAGAGTGTGGATAGGAAGGGATGGGAAATGAATGGGATCAAGATGCATGATGTGAAAGACACAAAGTATAAATAGAAAGAAAGTTTAAAAAAGGAGAGAAGCACTGATGTAAGTCTCTAAGTTGTTGAGCTTAGAGAGTTTCTGCTCTGCTATAGAAATCATCTCCACTCACTGCGGTACTCGGCCGTTGGATAGTCACCGCTCTCCACTACACGGGCGCTACAAGCAGTGAGTTATACCACACATATTATTTCAGGACTTGAATTGCCCTGGGCACTGGTCTAGGAACTGAGGATATTGTGTGAACAGCAGCCAAGTTTGTCCCAGGAGAAACATACGCTGAAGTGGAGATCTGAACTTCCAGCATCAAACCCTTTTGTCTTCATACAGTTTTCCTTAATGATCTCCAAAGTTACAGTTTTATTTTTATCATTCTCTGCGTTTTTAGAGCGTATTTCAGATAAAGGTGAAAGGAGTCAGACCAGTGCTGTAGAGCACATGATCAGGAACAAGTCGCGCTGGTTTAACTGGTGAAGGCGCTGGCTGGGCCCTTGTCATCTAGTTTACAATGAGGACATTTACTTTCTTCTGTTAGCTTAGCTTTAGGGAATTTCAAGGGGGGAAATGTGCAAACAAATACTGGAGTTACATTTGCTCTACAGTACTCCATGTAAACAAATCTATAGTAGATGCTTAACAAATTTCATGATTTGTAACTTAACAGTGAACTTCAAGCAATTTACTTCAAAGATATTTGAGGCTAACAGGCTAATTATATGTTGCCTGAAGAGGGAAATATTTCTTCCAGCTCACTTATTGATCTGTTGCCTTTTAACAGAAAAGTATGCTGATCTAATTACAGAGAAGGGTTAAAAGCTAATAACTTCAAACTCAAGTTGTCCATAATGGAATGGAATGATTAACGTTCTTGAAGAAACAGCCTCCTGTGGACCTTGAGTTGCAGACTTGAAATATTATGTTGCTAATGGGAGAGCTCCAAGTGTTTTGAGTACCTTTGCTTTCTGTAAAAAATCAGTGTTAAAACTGTCTGCTAAATGTTGTTGTAATTGGAAGCAGGGTGCAGCAATCACTTATGACCAGGTCTCTATGTGTTTATTTATCATTTCTAATGGAATTAACATTTCAGAGACAAAGCCCCAGCTATCTGACCACATTCATCCATGCAATGCCTGTGCCACAATCCTTTCCAAAATCTAATATTGTTTTCAAAGTCTGTATGAAGACTGTGACAGGGTAAAACCTGGGAAGTAGATGTGGGTCATTACACAACCATATGTATATGATGTATATGTAATGTATATACATCTCTCTGTGTGTATGTTTATGTGTACATGATCTCCCCAGCTCTCTGACATAAGAATTGTGGAATGAGTGTAGAGGCTTACAGGTGGAGCTATGGAAATTAAAATTAAGATTTTCATATAAATTCATTGAGAAATGTAAGCTGTAAAGCAAGAATTCCATTTTGGAGCAAGGAATATGAGCAAATGAATTAACGTTACCACTTTTATAGTATTCTCAGGCCCAGTAGTTGCCTCCATCTGCCCTGGAACAGAAGGAGCTGTGTTTGCCAGCTGAGTGCCACTGTGGGTACTGGAGGAGCTGGAGCCCAGAGGTCCTGAGAGCGGCACTGGGACTGTGGCACGCCAGGGACTCTGGGTGGCAGTGGATGTAGCTGGAGCAGCGGTAAGGGGTGTGGAGATGCTGTGGTGAGCAGATTGCTGGCCACTGTTTGTACTCTACTGTTGATAAGACAAAAACTACCTAACTGTCCCCTCCTATACTCAGGAAGAGCACTTAATTCCCCAGTGTTTACAATTCCAAACTATTTCCCCTTGTTTATGTGCCTGCTTTATGTCTTCACTTTGTTAGAGTAAACCTGAAGATCTGACCATGACCATTGTAACCCTGATCCCAACTACACTAGACACTGAGGGAGGAGGATTATTAGAGCCAGGAGTTTGAGTAGAGCCTGGGCCATGCAGTGGGGTGCTGTCTGGGTCATCCAGTGGGGTGCTATCTGGGCCATGCAGTGGGGTGCTGTCTGAACCATGCAGTGGGGTGCTGTCTGGGCCATGCAGTGGGGTGCTGTCTGGGCCATGCAGTGGGG